GCACACCGGTGGTTTTAATTTGGTGTGAATAATCGCCTCGGAGTTAAGGTGGTTGCATCAAGACGAAGATGGTGCCTGCAGATGAACGAGGCGTAGGATCGATCTGATGCCCAAATTGTGAGAACCCCTTCACAGCACTCCACGTCAGTCCGAGGCAGACGCGGTGGAGGAAGGTGGAACAGAATGCGCACCGAATGGGCCCTTGACGTCACTTACAGTGATGGTGTACCGAAATTAGCTCAATGGTTTTCAGAGTTTACCACAGAGGCGCTTGTTTTGCTTGCAACCAAGAGGCGGCGGAGGAGGAGTAGGAGGTGAGCACGACGATCTGTTTGATGCCTCTTTAGAATGTAAATTAATGCAGCAATTAATGAGTCTACTGGCGTGGGTGTCGAGCGTGAACTTTAACAAGTTGGTTGGATTGAGAAGTTGCATGTAGCACACTGGCTCCAGTGGTGCAGTCGACGTTTCGTCATGTGCGAAGGAGACGATGCAAGAGAACGACTGACGACCTCTGACGTGTGTCGAAACCCAACACCCACGCGCACACACATGATCGGATATGCCGGGGGGAGGCTTAAACCCTGAATGTAACTGCTTGGCCGAAAACCGTTATCTTTGCTTGTTTGGTGTCGCAATGATTTGACGGAATATAATTCCCCTTGTTGCTAAGATTACTTGAAGTAATTCAAAGTGCATTTCTTCACACACAATGCCCGCCTCGGAAACGCTGATCTGCGATTGCATGTCTAGCTTTGTTGGTCGCCGGCGTTAATGATAACTTGGTCAAGCTCGTCCACTGTTCGTGTCACCGGTTCGTACACTTACTGTCAGTGCTTCTTGGCCCAACGCATTTCTTAACTGGCCGAATGAGGCTTTTCCGGTGGGGTGCATTGTATTCGCGTGACTATTATTGCCATTGTATTCTTGTATTCTGCACAGGCTTCTGATAAAAAAAATCGAAGTACCGCTCCACCCAATCTCCGTCTGCCTCCATCACCCCTTCCTAAAACCCTGGCTGAGCTGGCCGATAATAAAAGCCGGGTAGGTACCGGAAACGCTCATTCTAGCCTAATCTTCTCCAGCTTTACCATTGGTCGCCTTTGCGTCCACTTAACAACTCATCAGCCTTTCAGTCACCACCTCTGATTAACTCAGTTCAGATATTGATTTTTCGATTGATGGGGCCCTTTAGCACCCTTAAAGCCCCCCTAGGTGACTGATGCATCCAGTCTAAATTGGATTTTCTTATGGACCTCCCTCAAAGACGGTTCCAAGGTTCTGTTTTCAAACGTGCATCATTTTAGGGTATGGTATCAAAATTTGCACCTTTTCGTTTAATGCATTCGTCCCCTACCCCCAGCACCCCCTGTGTAGGTAATCGGTGTATTAGAAGTGCTCCCGTACTGTACCCCCACCGTATCTATTTTGTTCTTAACCTTGCCTCGTTTCTTCCAGATTGCTTCCACAGATGTGATGCATTGATTTTTGTAAAATCGAACGGTTTATGGATCGCACTTTGCAATTGCGGTTTCTATCCATCCGTTTTTCTTCCCTATCCATATCACTGGTGCTTCTGGGGGGTGAAATTGGCCTGAATTTGATCCGTCTAGGGCCTGTGTAACTGCATTTTGAGCAACTTCTTTCGAAAGCGGCTGATTTTAAAATTAAATCTGTGTATTCCAAATGACATTTCATGTGCCCTCTTACTCCATTCTATCAGTCATTTTCATTAATATCGGTAGGAATAGCAATTTTGTGAGTAATTTTTGCATTGTGCACTTGTAATTTTGACCCCTTGTGTGTCTCATTGGCCTCATTTTTTTGTTTTCGTGTCAAACAAACCGAAAATACATCAAGTTGTCAGTGGCATTCCATTCGACTGTTTCCTACAGGGCTATTCAGTAGCCACTGGTCATTCGAATGTGAGCGTCTTCATCAAAATATTTTGCAACGGTCATGCTGTAGGAATGCATTCCTTTCTGTGCTCTAGATTATCCTAGTTTTGTCCCGAAATAAGAACAAGCGTGACCCACTCTCTGCCTTTATAAATATGACCCTGCGTTATATTGCCAAATCCGTTCGGATTATTTAAAATTCAGGCGAGTTTGCATTGACGTTTTTTTTATTTTCTGTAAGCTCAAAGCACCGTATCCCCTTGTATGTGTGTGCGTTTTACAATCTCAAGTTTAAGCGTTAGATAAGAGCGCTCAACTTTCGCCTCGTAATTTCGTGTATGTAAATCCAATCACTCTATCTGGGCTTTGCTTTGCTGTGCCTTCACTGATATTTTCAGCCAAATGTGGCTTTTCAATTCTAATCAATAATCGGTCATTTTTACCTAACCTACACGTGGCCGCAGTCAACACGACTGGTCCCGCGTTCGTCTCGAACAGCTTGTTGCTTTTGCTTGTGCCTCTACACCCTTCCTTCCTTCCCTGTTTTAGTCATCTTCTACTGGCGATCTTGTGGACTCGACGTGCTCCAAGCCCGCTTCGCCAAACATCGGAAAACCTCCAACTTTCGAAAAGAAGCCCACCACCACCACCGCCAAACTCCCGCCAGCCGGCGACGATGACTACGACGACTTTGCTGTGGCCGAGGAGTCACTTATGCACCAGCAGAAGAGGCCCCTGCAGATTCCCTCGTCTGCAGGCGCCAGTATTTCTGTCGTCGGTGGTGACTACGCGAACCAGGACCAACTTGAAGCTGCTCGCAAGCAAGCCGAGGCAGGAGTCTTCGTGGAGGCCCGAAGCACACGCGAGTCGGTCGGTTCTGATTACGAGGAGCCAATTATCCCTCCACAGCGAACCGGTGAGAGGTTTTGGGTTTTTAGTCTTTTACCGGGTGAAAGCACCCCTCAAGAATTGGTCTGGTCTTGTCGTGGGATTACTGACATCTACTGACTATGTATCAAGCCCACTTCTATTCATTATTTAATACCTAGGGTAATATGGAACAGGAAGGGTTTCGTAGGCCAAAGGTGACTAGAGTAGTTGTATAGTGTGTCAATATAAACGTCCATTTGACCTACGACTGATAGTCGTGTAATCTAACTCCGGGAATATCTTCAACACCTCCTAGATAGGCGTGCGGATCGTCAGAAATCCTTCCTTTTACCTAAAGAAGTCGATCGACCTCGTAAATGTAAATTCCCTCGTAAGAGTGATGAATTAAGACGAATTTGTGGCCGTCTGGTGATGATTGAGATAATCAAACCAGTCGAATCGTTGTTGTGTTTGTACACTAGCGAACCCCGCCTCCCTGTCGGGTATCTGAAAGGTTGATCGTGCGTTTCCCAGACGCAAGATGTTTGGTAGTCCCCAGAGGACAATCGTGACGATGTATCGTCCCCGAGAATCAATTAGGGCAGATTGTCATTTGCGAGATATGATTGCGATGATTGGTTGTCATTGAAATCTACCTGAAACCATTGGCCATTACCCAGAGGCATGATCGTGATCAATCGGTATTGACCAATCAGTATCGATCACAAGGGTTTTACAGCTAAGCTATTGGTCGTCGTCAGTAGGTGATTGTACGCCGTTGTTAACGCTATTCGTGTAAATGGACGAGGCGGGAGAGTTTTCGAGGTGTATGCTAAGCGATTGACCATATTGACATTATTGAGTGTCGGGGGGCTTAAGGATCAACCTTTCCACCAAATTTCAAGTAATCGAACCTCAGAGTGTTTGGTAGGAGCATCGGCGAAATATCTGGAGCAGGTCTTACGGCGGCCAACCCTATCACCAACTCAGGCTATGGGGAATTCAGAATGTCCGATGGATCCAACATCAATCCTTTGCTTATACTCGTTAATGGGAAGGTTGCGTCTGTACCTGCACTTACTTGTGTAATTTATTGATCCGTAAATGCACTTGTCTGGATAGGCGCTAGGATTGTGGGCTATTTTGCTGAATCCGTTTAGCTTGACGCCTAGGTAAACACTTGCCTATCCACGCCAAACGCTAGTCGTAGTTGGGTCTTCAACAAGTGTTCCTTCTTTGCAGCTATTCCTGCTCAACAACTCACACTCGAAGACTTCCGCTTCGTAGCGGTCCTCGGTCGTGGTCATTTCGGCAAGGTGTTGTTGGCAGAGTCTCGCAAAACAAAGAAGTACTATGCCCTGAAGACCCTGAAGAAGGCTGAAATTCTCTTCCGCAACGAAATCGACAGTCTCACCTCCGAAAAGCGAATTTTCCAGACCATCACCGAGGCTCGACATCCCTTCCTTGTCAACCTCGTGGCGTGTTTTCAGTCTCCGGTGGGTGTAACTCCGTTATCCTCTGTCACCTTTCTTCTTCTTCTTCTTTGAATATTCTGTTTTCCCCGATGCAATCTAGTTTGCTTTGATTGTCATCGGTTTTCACAGGGCTAATTAGGCTCAGAATGCACACCGATGTTGCATTGATTTTGGAAGGTAGCAAAATTGCGTATTCGGTATCGAAATCAAACCATTAATTTTCATATTTGGTTCTGAAATATTGATTTTTTTTGGGGGTCTAAATGCCCCATTTTGTAGCCACGAGCGATGCCTTTGCACCCCTGCATAGTATCACGGAAGTGTTATTACTTTGTGGTACTTGAACCTTTTTTTAGGCCACAGGTTAAACCAAATTGTGTTTTTTTTGCCTAACAGGAACATGTGGTGTTTGTGATGGACTATGCTCCCGGTGGCGATCTGATGTTGCACATTCAGGAGAGCGTCTTCAGTGAATACCGGGCTGCCTTCTACGCGGGCTGCGTTGTCCTCGGCCTGGAATTCCTCCACTCCAAGCAAATCATCTACAGGTAGTGCCGGCATTTTTGCTCTCTTCTGCTTGTCGGTGTCATTTTCACACATTACCGCAATTGACCTCACACATCAGCGCACATACGCGAGTTGCGTTGCTTTTTTCATTTTATGGCCCAGTTTTTTTTTTAAATTTTCGTTCTTGCCTCTACCTTGTCAGTGTATGTAGGACCGAATGTTTTTGTATCCTGGATATGGGAAACTAGGCAGTTTTCGTTATCGTCTAATGCCAGCAAACTGATGCACGCGTTAACACGTGCCTGTGTTTTGAATGTGACTGTCACGGTTGAACACAGTTGGATGCACTGCCTTCGAAATGTTGTTTATCTTGCAGTCATTTGACGAGTCCCATTTTTGTAGCATCGTTCACTGTTCAGGCCACAACCCCCCTCGCCCCCACCTGATTGAGGCTCCTTTTCCACATTTAGGGATCTAAAGTTGGATAACCTGCTCATGGACACGGAGGGCTACGTGAAGCTGGCTGACTTCGGTCTCTGCAAGGAGGGCATGGGACCTGAAGACAAGACTTCAACGTTCTGTGGCACTCCCGAATTTCTGGCACCCGAAGTTCTCACCGAACCCTCCTACACCCGGGCCGTCGATTGGTGGGGTCTGGGGGTTCTTATCTACGAAATGCTTGTTGGTGAGGTGAGTTTTGCGACTGCGGAAGTCTATTCGTTCCGGCATTCCTAACTGCGAGGTCATGCGTTACTGATTCTGCTCACGGTTTCCGATTTTGGAGATGTTGGGCCCAAGCTGAATCATTAACTTACTGTTTGTTCATGACCTCCAGGAATCCAGTTTCCAGTAGGTGTAGGTCCTGTTCCAATGTTTTACTGGTCGCACGCCCTGTTGATCAGGCAAATGGATGCACATTTGTTACTTTGACCACCAGTGCATGTGAATACACTCATCTCTACAGGGGCAAGGAGGTCAAATTCGCTAGTGTTTTGTTTGGTCTTACATTGGGTGCGCTCATGTTACTTGGCTGTCACGTCATCCACAAGTTCCATATAGACTCGTAAGATGCAGTTGGAGGATGTCCAGGCACTAAAAATGACCCAAAAATGCCACCTTTCCTCCAAGTACCCACGGAAACCGGTTTAGATTCGTCGATGAACGAGACTTGATGTTGAGTGGTTTCGGTAGGTCGTATTTTTCAATGGCGCCTTGATTTTGTGCACTGCAGTGTCCTTTCCCTGGCAACTCTGAGGACGAGATTTTCGAGAGCATCACCAACCGCGATGTGAGGTATCCGGTTCGACTGGGAATGGAGGCCACTCTGATCATGCGACGTCTTTTGCGACGGAATGTCGCGCTTCGTCTCGGCGCCTCAGCCAAGGACGCCGCCGAAGTGAAGGAGCAGCTGTTCTTCAAGTGCATAAACTTCGAGGACCTCCTCCAACGCAAAGTCAAGCCTCCTTTTGTCCCGAAAATCGTAAGTCCGCGACAACTCTGTGGTCTTAATTACACTCAGATTGGCTGTGTGGTTGGAGATATGGGTTCTTTCGTTGTTCTGTTCACAAACTTGAATCGCAGGACACATCATTTTTTATTGTTTTCTGTCTGGTGTAGTCGGCTGCAGAGGACGTGTCCAACTTTGACGAGGAGTTCACCCGGGAGCGTCCCTGCCTCACGCCTGCACGCGATAGGTCGCCTCTCTCGAGCAGAGACCAGAGCTTCTTCGGCGGCTTCGATTACTTCCCTGACGGTTTCTGTTGATCACCTCGTCCCAGTCTGTTTCCCCACAATGGTTGTGAATGCGGTCTCAACGCCCCAAATGGTCGAACCCTCGTTGCTGCTCTCCTTGCTCAAATCGCAGACCGCCTTTTGGCACCCCTCCCCACACCCACTGTTCCCCCGTCCTATTTTTATACCCGTTTCTATTGCGAACCATGGTGAGGCGACCCCGCATACCCCCGTCTCCCCTCGTTTCCAGACTTAGAAACCATCCTCCAAGCTCGACATGGTCGAGTTAATTTTGCGCTTTTATTACTGTTAAATGCACAATTACAAATGGCTTGTCCATCTATTTGTCTGTTGACGACTGTGCAGGGTCTTTTATTACCACAATTCACACACACACACACACCTGCAAACAGGCCACAAAGTCAGTGAAAGGTGTGCTAGTATTTTGCCTTGCTCTTGGGTTTCATTTTTTTGGCCGTGTTTCTTTTTGCAAACGAAAGTGAGCTTTAGTCAAAGCGGTGGTGTGTCTAGTTTGTGAACGAGACGGGTAGGCATCTTCGTCTTGCTAACTGAAACTGCGTGTATGGCCCCAAAGGCCAAAACCGTTTGCTGCAGTGTCTGTTGTCTGTGTTTGCAGTCGAGTTTCACATGATGTATTCCTTAAATTCATCACGGGAATCTCCCTAAGTGGTCTTCCTTAAAACACGCATTTGTACTTGTACCTGCCGATGAGTATAATCAAAGCCTCACATGAGGCATCTAAGCTTCAAATCGTACCAGTCATCATGCCACGCAACGTGGACAATCAATCATTTGAACCTATTGGGTGCTGGCGCAATTACAATGGACTCGGCTTCTTCTACCACAAGTGGTTTATGAAGTAACAAGAATTGCTCTTAAATGCCTAACATCTAGGAAGCGCCGTGAAGCACCACGTGAAATTCCAGTGGTCGCACGATACGTCACATAATAGGTAAATCAATAGGGAGAACTTGTGGCTTGTGCGCTGTTCTGTGGTTTCACTAGGTCGAGATTGTTTGTTTTACTGCATTTCGTAGCTGGTACATCTGGTCCCATAAACCCGCGCGAATTTCTAGATTCGGCTCGTAAAATAGCCACATTGTGGTATATCCGAAATATGCTGGTTGTGCTGTGGGTGTGTAGGTGGCCTGTTGGCACGAGTTGTGCATTTTGGGGCAAAGGTACAAACAAATTTTTAAGGAAAACTAAAAATTCGGTTTGAGAAACGAGCTTGATGCCCCTGGTCGTCTAAGCTAGCACCCGAAGTGTGATCATGGGTAAACACGTGATCCGTAACTAATGCCTTGCCCTGTCACGCAACTTAGATACCCGTCGGAATATTAAAAGCGACAAGTACGTGCGATTTTGCAACGAAATCTAATCTGAGCCACGAAAGGCCTTTTTAATCATTCAGTTTTAGCGAGGGGTGTGTTGTATTACTTGTCGAATTTTACTGATATTACAAGCTGCTCTAAGGAATACAAGTCAAATCTTTTCGTGGCTTTTAAACGAAGTGTTGAATCACACCGATGTGCTTCTCCGAAACCAAAATCAGCCCTAACAGGTTTGTCCTGGAAAGAACTTGGGACATTTGCGAGCAGGGTATCCAAGAGGGTGTCTGTAATGTGTTCACCATGTGATCAGTGAGTGACAGAGAAGATAGTAAGCAGATTAATAGGCATAAAAGAGTAGCAGTTGTTGTTGCCAAATTGATGCAACGAATTACGGACAAACTGGCTAGGGGGAAAGGGACCGGACCAATCAGAAGGCAGATGAATTAATTATCCTCTCCATCATCTTTCCAACCGTTCTTTCATCTCCGCCTCGCTTAATCATCTCCGAATTGCATGGACGCCTTGCAAAGAATCGAAAGTATAAATTCCGTTTAGTGAGAAATCCAGTACGGCATTTTTGGCATAGTCGTCGTCTAACCTTCGTAGAATATAAAATTTTGGAATGACGCGAACAGGAATTACATTGGCGGCCAACCAGGTGCAATGCAGTGGTGTGCTTGAATGCGTCTTCAATCTCTTGATGGACGCCACACCATCCAAACACTGGTTTTCGTCGACAAAGGGCGAAACTGCCTAAATAATTACCGTTTAGGCATCGATGATATGTGGCAACATTCGTTGATAGTGCGCTGCTTGTTTTACCTACTCTAGAATGACGTATTCCGGCTCACGAAATCTGTGAAATCTCCAGATTCAATGAGTTTAGTCTGAGGATGTAAGTCCGTTTTTATTCGACACCCACAAAATTTGTTAATAGTAAATAAATGTCTCTCTAATCAATCTTGAAGAAATGTTTCAACTAAATGGGAGGAGCCGTTTTGAATGAAGAATTGCCGTACCCCTGTTTCGTTCTATCAACAACAAGTTTTCAAAGACAGCACTGTAGGTTTAGATAATTTTAAGCAATTAAAGTACATATTTTGAGCCCTTTGGCTAACTAATGATCAGAATTTTGATAAAATATGGCTATTTACTATGTCCTTCCTTGCGTCTGTCTTACTGGACT